CTGTTAGACCCGTGAGAAACTTTGATTTGGAGTTGGTTTTGCATTCAAATCCTATGACAAATGTTCTTCCTTGAGTTCATGTGAATAATAATAATAATAATAATAATTATTATTATTATTATTATTATTATTATTATTATTATTATTATTATTATTATTATAAAATTATTATTATTATTATTGATGGTTTTGTCGGGATCGGGTCCATCATAAATTGGTTTTGTCAGGATCGGGTCCACTATAAATTGAGTATACAGGTATAGGACAGGGTAGAAAAAGAGTAGTATTATTGTTCCAGCGATGGCTCAAAATAGTATATACAAAGTATGAGATAACGATGGCCCAAATAATAAATGACTAATACAAGCTATAGGGCAATTTATATCGTGGACCAGGTCCACATAGCATTGTGAACCATGGATCAAAACGACTTCGTTTGATGTTTAAACTTTAATGGCCCATTTTTTGGGGTTCACGGAATAGGCCGGGAATAACATATCATTCCCAGTAATAGGCCTATTCCTTTGTTTGGTAACCATTTTTATTACCAGGAATAATATTCCTGGTAATAGCCTATTACCTCAAATGAGGTAATAGCTATTACTAGGGCCCCCCTGGTATTAGCCTATTACTGAACGCTCAGGAATAAATTTTAGAATCTATTTCCTTTTTTACCCCTTTCTTTAACCTAATTTTTTTATCCTATATATAAATTTATCCTATTTCACTACCGTCGTCACCACCACCACCATCACCGTCGTCGCCACCACCACCACCACCATCAGCACCACCGTCATCAACATCGCCGCCACCAGAACCACCACCTAGCAGCACCACCGCCACCACCATCACCGCCACAACCGTCGCCGCCCCCACCACCACTGCCACAACCGTCACCGTCACCACCACCACTGCCACCGCCACCACCACCATTACCACCCCAGCACCACCACCACCGTCACCATCGCCGCCACCACCACCACCAACATCGCCACCATCACATATTCTTATAAGGGTATTTATGTCTTTTAAAACATATTTCATTTCTATTCCTTAAATCAACCAAACACTGTAATATAATTCCTAAAGTCTATTCCTTCCGCGAATCAAACAATAGAATACAATTCATATTCTATTCATTATGGAATAGCATTCCTATTACCTCAAAATTCATTCCGTGAACCAAACGTGCTGTAATAGACTCCATAACTTCTCGTTTTTCATGTATCAACACAATTTTTAATTTATTTTAGGTACAAAATCCTTAAGCTTAATGTACAAAATTGCATAACATGATGTACAGAAACGCTTAACACGAGATACATACACATGTTTTCTATTTTACTTATTCTCAAAAATTTTATTTATGTAAATAATTCATGTCCTATAGACACATAATTTCATAATACAAAACATAAATTCGTAAAATAAGACACACAATATGTTTTGTGTTATACAACTACTAATCAATTTCAGATACAAAATTCTTACGCTTAATGTACAGAATTGCATAACATGATGTACCGAAAAGCATAACACGATATACATTATACATACACATGTTTTCTATTTTACTACGAAATACATACACATGCTCTCTATTTTACTTATTCTCAGATCTTATTTATGTAAATAATTTATGTCATATAGGCACATAATTTCATAATACAAGACTTAAATTCGTAAATTAAGACACATAATATGTTGTGTTATACAACTATTAATCAATTTAAGGTATAGAATCCTTACGCTTAATGTACAGAATTGCATAACATGATGTACAGAAACGCATAACATGATATACATACACATGCTTTACAATTAAAAAAAAAAATCTTATGTAATGCTGGTCCACCGTATAACGATAGAAGCTATAGACCAAATAGTGGACTATAAATAAGGGTTAAGACCACAAACCACTGGACTATAAGGAGGTTTGAGTAAACAAAGGGATGATGTCTTAAAGAGAGGGAATGATGCCTTATATAGTGTAGAGGGCATTGCATATGGTATCAACCAGCCTTCAAAATCTTGGTTATACACGTGTCTCCTCACTACCTGGATGTTAGCGATCTTCATACGAGTAAATAAAGCATCTTGCCTTTTAATATATAAGAGATAGAATGACTTGGTGGTTTGGAGTGTGTGTTGTTATGTTGGAGGTTATGAGTTTGAATCTTATTGGTAGTACTTCATCTTTTAATATTTTGCTTTAAGCTTACCTATCTCCTATCAATAAAAATGAACACCTCACTTGGATCAAGACTTTCCCAATAAAATGATCTCCGGCTCTCATGTCATCATCAATTATTAATGATGTGCTATGTAAAGAGCTCTAGCGGAGCTTTTCTCCCGACGAAGAATCAAACTCTATGCACATAACTCCAAGTCCCAAACTAAATCTGAATTAATCTCATATTGATGGAATACCAAATGTTGTATAGACTAAAAAAGAAGAGAACCTTAGAAAATTGATCACTTATTCAATTAATCCAGCTCCCCCCATTCCAAATAGTCTTTTCCCTTGCAAGAATAATAGCTATTTTTAAGAATAAAATAATTTACCAAACAACACCCTCTACGACATATGAAGAGAGGGAACAGTGACACGAAACCGCAGCATCCAACTCAGATCAACACATGTCAAGATTCACGAGGTATCTTATTCTTATCAATCCACATCCAGACAAATTCCATGAAGATCCCCATGTGTATTGTAAGCTATCCATCTAGCTTTTGCTTGCCTTTTTTTGTTTTTCATTTCTCATTTACTCGACTAACAATTACACACCAAAATTAATTAAAACTCAAAATCCAAAATTTATAATTAAACTAGAAGGAATTTATTCGAGTAGCTTATAGCTTTTGTAGTACTCCTAAATGAGAAGTCATAGATTTAAACGCCAATAAAAAAATAACTTATTATACTATAATAAGTTTAAGGGAGCGTTTGGTTCACGGAATCTTGAATTACCCCAGGTAATAGGATTACCTCCTGAAAGGTAATGTGAGATTTTGGGAATGTAAGATTATCTTGTGTGTTTGGTTTGGATGGTGTAATATAATATTACCTTGTTTGGTTCAGGGTTATATTTTAGGTTACATGGATCAATTTACAATAATGCCCTCAATAATATATATATATATATATATATATATATATATATATATATATATATATATATATATATGTGTGTGTGTGTGTGTGTGTGTGTGTGTGTGTGTGTGTGTGTGTATTTTTTTAATTTATATCTATGAACGTATATATCAAAACTTAAATATTAAAAAAACTAAATATATAAATATACACATATGTATATTTAATTATATAAACATATATTAATTTCATTATTATTATTATTATTATTATTATTATTATTATTATTATTATTATTATTATTATTATTAGTTGACAAGGGCAAAGTTGGAATAATTCAAGGTAATCTAAAATTATCTAAAAAAATGGAGGTAATCACATTACCTTGAAACATTACCGCCACATCAGCTTTCAGATAATATAACATTACCTGGTAATTTCATAACTTGAACCAAACAAGGTAATATAACATTACCAGACTCAGATGATCTATTTTAATATAAAATGACCTGAACCAAACGCCCCCTAAAAAGTATGTATAAACAAATACAAATTAGAAGAAAGTTATATTCGGCCCTGATTCCACATCCCGACTTGACCCGACCCAATTTTATAGCCAATCTGTCATCCCCACGATCGTTTTCTCGAGTGTTAAAACGCAACTTTCTTTACGCAAACAATTCTCTGCGAATGTGCGCACGAAAAATAATGGTTTTTGGGGTAGTGCGGTCAATATGACCGTTTCCATTTCGTCTATATTTTAAATATTAATTAAAAATGTTAGAAAAATACTACTCCGTATTTTTTATTTAATAATCAACGGTAACATTAATAATATTTAATATTATTGATTTTTCAATTTTCACGATGCGGTGGTTTAGGATTTTTTTTTTTTTTTTTTTTTTTTTCAATTTTGACAACTTTAGTTCCTAACACACTAATATGCTAGAATTGTAAATTACAATTTTATTCTTATATTGATTAACAATTCTGGATACTATTTAGATTATACTCCGTATTTAGCAAAGAGATAAGTTAGCAAAATATTATATAAAAAAAATTAATTAATTTAGGTTGTTTGTATTTGACATTATAGTACATTAAGACCTTACATAAAGTCTGCAACTACTATATAAAAGTGTATATTAAGTGAAGTTCACATTGTGATTTTAGCTGGCAAATGACTATAAAGAAGTAAACTAACTTAGAAGACATAGAAGACACCATAGAAGACATACGTTAAGACTTTATATATAATGCTCCGCAATTACTATCTAGTACTAAGTGAAGCTCGCCTTGTAACTAACTCTAATAGGCAAATGATCATAAACTAGTCTTTGTTGTTTGTATTTGACACTAAGAAAAGAACGGTTAAGCCCCTACATAAGTTCGCAGTTGCTAGGTAAAAGCGTGCACTGGGTGAAACCCACATTGTAAGCCAAATCGATAAAAAAGTGTAAGGACGCAAACTCACGTAAAAATTTGTTGACCAATTTGACTGAGGTCACACTTAGAAACAATTCTCTGACCAACTTCTCCCGAAATGTTGAATCCCTAACCCTAAGGGCTCTTCACACTGTAGCTCGGCAAAACATTTGGGAGGATGTGAATAAAGATGACTCAATGGATCAAACATGGCCAAATACCAGTTGAATTTGCTCACTTTGAACATAATCTGTACACTATCGCTACCAGTGTTTAAACATAATAAAATTCGAACATTGATCTTGATCTCAAATATTGAGTTAAGTCCGTGCGGACAAGAATTCTATGTTAGTGGTGAGTTGGAGCCCAAAGGTGCATTTATATTGATGCAATAAATTTCCATAATGAGAAGTAAACGGGACCAAACTCCGTTAATAATATAGGCAAGTCAGGTTTCCACGTGCTCCTGGGGACTACCATCTCTCATCTCTGCCTGTGCTTGATGGATTCTTCAATGCCATCTTGTTTTCATTCCACCCTTCATTTAACACTTCCTTTGACTATTTGTTTCCCCCACTCTCTTCTTCCCACTCCGCCATTGAAGCCCAATATATGCTAGCCTGCTGTATAAATTAAAGTAACAAACTTTACATACATTATTCTGCATTTGTACGGTGGCGCGTGGGTGGAAATATGGTGATAATGGAAGGGATTCAGGAAGACATGGGCGATGGTAGCATGCAGTGTGCGAATCATCCGTACAAGAACAGCAGCCCGGGAGGGGTTTGTGCGCTTTGTCTTCAAGAAAAGCTTGGGAAGTTGGTTTCTTCCTCTTTCCCTTCAGCCATTTTCCCCTCTTCTTCTTCTTCCTCTTCCACCCCTTCTGTTAGATCTGAGCTTGGCGGCGGAATGGCCGCCGGCGGCGGCGGCGGTGCTACTGCTTCATCTCAGCCTGTTCAGACGGCCAACAAGGCCGGTGAGGGTGATCATCATCATCAGTTTGAGTCTGCTGCCAGGAAACCCAGAATACCCTTTCAGAGGAGGAAGAAGAAGAGCAATAACAATGGCGAGTCTTCTTCTTCTGCTACTGTGTTCAAGAGAAGCAAGTCTGCAACCACTCCAAGAAACAGGATGGGTTTCTTGGAAGGAGATGAGAATGATAATGGAGATGATATTAGCCCTAGGAAAAGGGGTTTCTGGTCATTCCTCTACTACTCAGCATCCAAGAAAATTGAGAAGCCTGCAAGCATTAAAGATGCCAGCTTTCCCTCATCATCTGCCTCTGGGAATGGTTCAATGGTGGTGAGAGACAAGAAAAGAGAGAGCTTTGCAGTGGTGGAGGAGAATGAGAGGTCTGATCAGAGTAGCCATGAGAGAAAGGTGTCAAGGTCCAGATCTGTTGGGTGTGGGAGCAGGAGCTTCTCAGGGGAGTTCTTTGAGAGAATCTCAACTGGTTTTGGGGACTGCACTCTAAGAAGAGTTGAGTCTCAGAGAGAAGGGAAGCCCAAAGCTCCCCCTTCTGTTCAACACAGGAACAGTGGGGCTTCTGGCCAAGATTGCATCAGGGAAAGAGTGAAATGTGGAGGGATTTTCAGTGGCTTCATGATCATTGCATCTTCTTCATCTTCCTCATCAGATTGGGTTTCTTCTGAAGAGAATAAGGCCACAAATAATCCTACAATCCCACCTGCATCTGTGGATCATCATGGAAGGAGCAAGAACTGGGGATGGGCACTTGCAAGTCCAATCAGAGCTTTTACCAGCAAGCCATCTACTGGGAAAACAGAAGCTTCAAACAAGAACACAACTCCCAACTTGGCTGCCATTCCTTCTTTGTTGACTGTCAGAAGCTAGAACAATGGCTTTGCCCCAATGGAGTAAATCACTATAGAAATTTTTTAAAATTTAATCCTCTTCTTTAAAATGTGTTTATTATTATTATTATCCTTGTTTGACAATGTTCAGTAACCTTTCCCTCCCTCCCTAAGTTGATATTTATGTCTATTTCATCTTTCTTTTACTGTCAACACTGGGTTTGGATTCCATTCATGGAGTTCATGTCTGTTTCCATAACCACCTGATTCTTGGATGTGATGATCCAATCCAGTTATGTAATTTGCTCATAGCAACATTATCATCAATAAGAATAATTGTTCATTTTGCCAATGACAATGTTGCTTTAATTTGACCTTGAATTATGGATGGCTATTTTCGAATGCTACTGACTCTATTACAATGTAGTGTCTGTTCATAACTACTTTCTCAATCTACTGAAGCACAAATTTTCAATAACGCCTCCACTGAGGCTCGAACTCACAACCTCTCTTGTAGGAGTCCAACCCAGGTGTCATCCAAGCACAAGGTGCTTAGCAATTTTTTTTATTGTATAAACCTAAGGAATCCTAAAAGGTTTGCACCTCAAACTCGACCGGCCTCATTTCTCCTCAAGTCTTTACAAAGGAGTAAATCGTGAAATTACTGAAATATGTCTCACCGTCGGCTTCAATTCCTAAAATACTTGTAGACCAGTACCCACAATGAAACATATTCGTAACACTCTTTTCGGTAGAATTTGAACTTGCACACTACGATTGCCAGCAAAGGTGTCAACCAGTTAAGCTGTGCCCGAGTCAACCTTATAAGGGGTTGTTGGATTCATAATTGAGTTGGTATGTTTCATGGTTTTGTGCATGGGCATTAATTTGTAGTAGTAGTAGTAGAAGAGTACTAAAATTAAAGATGTAGTGGATCCCTTCACATCCTCATGTCTCTATCTAGGGGTATCTCTAATGGCTGTGCCACACTTTTAGCTGGCCAAAAGCCAAAACAAATCATAAAGAAAGAGCCCTCAGCTCATGTGCAAGGATGATGCACATACAATTAAATATTATTATTAAAACTAAAAATGAAAATTTTAGTGGCAAAGAGCAAAAGGAAACAAATGGTGAGCAGTTTGAGTGAAATGTCAAAGCACATGTTTGGTAGAGAGGTCAAGATCAAGGGTGCAAATAAGCCAAAGATAGTGTGATGGAAAGCTAGCTTTTGCTTAACTAGCATTTTCATGCTTTTTTTTTTTGGGTTCCAAACTCACATCTGTTCCTTTTTGTCAACACCTAGATGGGAAATTGTTCCTTTCTGCATCTCAGATCTATCTGTCATTAAAATTTGATAATCACTTATATTAATCTCTTTCTGTGTGTGAAATGGGCAAACTGATGCATGGGCTTGGGATTCTCTGGTGATTGCTGTAAACTGCATGGGAGATGACTATGATGGCCACACCTGTCATTATTGATGCTACACTACACCAACTCAACATGCTAGTTAGCCTCTAATAGTATAATCACTAATGTTATGGAGGCCAAAAACTCAAAAATCTCAAGTTTATGCGGTCGAGTGGCATAGTTGTGGCATAGTTTACACTAGGAATGGTAAAAAAAAAAAAAAAAAAAAAAAAAAACTAAGGGTATGTTTTTTTTTTTTTTTTTTGGAGTGTTCAGTGGTCTAATTGCATTTAGTGGTAAATTCGAACCTTATTCCAAAAATAAAAAAAATTAAAAAAAAATCTAAGGGTGTGCGGGTGTGCTTGTTCTATGAGTTTACACACTAGGAATGATTCAAAAAAAAAAAAAAACAAATTAAATTTATTATTCTCCGAACGAGATAGATCCCACATTGATATCACTAATTCACTATTTGATTGGCTCTTTGCATTCGGGTATGGTGCCATGTTAGAGCAAGCTCATTAGTTTACATTTTTTCTTAATTTTTGTAAGTCAAGTAGGAGAGAAAAAAGGGAAGGAGAAGAGAAAAAAGAAAAGCAAAAAAAAAAAAAAAAAAAAAGTCTCACACGCCATGCTGGGCGCATAAGTGTTGGCGTGTTGCCAACGTGGAAACTTGACTTATTTCTCTCTTCTATACTCTCTTTCCTTCACATCATCTTAGGCTCCACAAAAAATCAATAAAAACAACTAAATGGGGATGCTTCAATTGTTATACCATGGAGGCATGGACTATACAAAAATTATGTACCTTTAATTAATACATTATGTACTTATCGTTAACAGTTTTTGTATATGTAAACAAATAACTTGATACTTGTTGACACATAATATAATAGTTACAGGTACATAAACTATCAATTGCATGTACATAATATGTCAACTATAAATGTAAAATCTAAATTGATAATTGCTGACACATAATATGATAGTTACAAGTACATAAACTATCAACTATAGGTACAAAATGTGTCAATTATAGATATAGAGCCTGAAGGTCATTTTTGAACTAGAGTTTACAATGTAAGGTAGACCCTGGTCCATGATATAATTTGTTGGGATGCTCTTATTGGTTGTAGCTAAAATTTGGAGCATCCCATTTGATTATTTGAGCTTACAACTAGTTAAATAGTGACACCTCAAGTGGATATTTCACTATTTCTCGCAAATCCTGCTTAAAGGCTTACCTAGTAAAGCTATTCAATATCAAATCTTCAACTAAAAAACCGAGTGTCATTTCAAGTGAGATTTACAACTTGGGGGTGAAAAAAAAAAGAAATACAATTTCCTATTACAATTACCTTGTGTTCAGATGGCATGTAGTGACCTCTCTTATATGGGATGTCATGAGATTGAGTTTCAGTGGAGGCGTTGTTAACTCTGTGTGTTTCATTAGGTTGAGAAAGTATGTTTGAACAGATACTACAATGTAATAGAGTCACTAAAAAAAAAAAGTAATAAAAATTAGAGATTGTGTGTGTGAGAGAGATTACATGAGAAAGAGACGTATGATTGCGAAGAGGACCCCAACAAGTAACAACACAAGGAGAGAGGGTGTGCTGATTGCTGACTGCTGAGTAACAGTAAGTTTAGGTGACGGATAGGAAATCTAATGCAAACTCAACTCCATCATAAAGGACACTCTACTTTTTAAATGCCACCAAAAAGCTTTTTGGAAATTTGCTTATTAAATACCTGTTTTGGGACCACATACAAAGCCTCAGTCGGTGCACAACCCACTCATCCTTTTACCTAATGGTTAAAATTATCGTGATTTATCTTCTTTTTTTTTTTTGAAATGATTTATCATTTTACTATTTTGTCGAACTAAAGTACAAGGGGCAAGTTATAAATTATTATACTATTCTGTCGAACTAAAGTACAATGAGCAAATTATAAATTTACTTCTGGAAATTATAAAATTTTTGATAACTTGAAAGTGATCTTAAATCAAGTCAAAAGCCTTGTTCTGATCACTTTTGGAATTCGGAAAAACCTTTGTTGTTATTTCCGGTCACTTTTTGCTTTCGACTTGATTTAAGATCACTTTTAGGTGGTCGAAAATTCCATAATTTTCAGTGGTGATTGTTATACCATGGACCAGGGTTCATATTGACATATTGTATTGTGAAATTTGGTCCAAAAATCAATACATTTTGTATATGCAGTTAATAATTTATGTACATGTAAACAAATTAAAAGCACATAATATAATAATTACATGCATATAACACGTTAACTACAAATACATAAATTGTTAACTGCAAACACAGAATATGTTGGTTAACATGTTATGTGTCTACACTTTAACATATTTTATGTTTGTGTTAGCATGTGATATGTCTGAGGGCAAGGACATGAAAGGGTTCAGTGGGAAGTTGATAAAACGGTGCAACCACTTTCAACACTTCCCAATATCCATATTTGGTTCACACTCAAAGAGCATGTGATTGTATCTCCGACAGGCGACAGGATACACTCCCGCAAGGAGGAGGTGCAATCCCACATGTTAAGGCCAAAATCAAAACATGACACAGTTTTGTTAAACTTAAACATTAAAACTGTAATCACATTAGTTTTCACAATAAGTGACCATAAACAACTGTGTTATCAACATATATAAAACCAAGCAACCTCAGTACGTATATAATATTATAATCAAATCAAAATGGAGGTAAACGGACATTGCTTCAATATGATGAAATTGACATCCACAAAAGACTAATGAATTACAACATACAGAACACTCCAACAAGGCAAATATGTTGAGTAGAAAAAGAAAAATATAATTGGGAAAAAACAACACAGACAATATAGTGTGATTTAGTATTCAAAATTCAAAATGATCAATATCTCCTCTACCGACTTTTCTTTTTTTGTTGTTTCCAACAGAGTTTCTTGTCCTCCCATGTTTTAATCTCTCAAGTCTTTTGTAGATTCACAAGTTCTCCAAAAATGTTGACTTACATCACTCGAATGGGGCAGAGGGGACATCAAGAGTAATTCCGGCTTGAATTTGGCCCCAACCAATAAGTCGCCAATGCTTCTCAATTCTCCGACTGAGAGCAATTTTCTCACCTTTGCTGGTGCACACAGGAGATGTCAACTGAAGTTTTGCAAACACATTCTTGACAGCAACGACACGGGCCCCAGTTGACATAGATCCTATATTCAACATTAGTATTTCTCCCTTTGTCAACTTGGTCACCTTGCCCTGCTTTTCTGTGTCTTTTGTTCTGACACCCAAAAGGCGTCGCAACAGAAAGAAATTCACCTGCAGTAAAGGAGACAAAAATATATTGGTAAATGAGGGTGAAGGTAAAAAACACATATTGGGTTCGACGCCAAACCAAGTGAACTTAGAAAACAACTGATACAAGTATAGGAAAAACATTGCAAGGAACTACCCTTTACCTCTAGCTCACTATAAATGTCTGGAAGTGACCCAACCTCACCAAGGACTTGTCCCACCAATCGATCAGCACGTGTCAGTGTGGGGTCCATGGTTGTGCCAACTCCAATTAAGCCTCCAGGCACAGCAAACTGGAGTTCATTCTGCTCAGCATACAATGAAACTATCCTAGAGTATATAGGTGTGCATTTGATGTTTCCATTCTCATCCTTGACAACGATACCAGGACGAACCTCAATTTTTTGATTAACCTTCAAAACACCCTGCACAATGAATTGAATATCCTTGAATCACTAATCCAGTATAATTCCCATGGAAATCCAACATGTCTATAAATTAGTCAAGACCATTAGTAACTACAGTGAGAACACCAAATAACAGAAAGGAAAGTCAGATTCTTAATCAGTGATTACTTCACAAATCTACAACTTACTTAAAGACTTCAAAATAACAAGCATACCTTCAAGATACTGCCA